GTCATAAAGATTTACTTCTCGTTATTTTCGTTTCTACAAAACAGTTTAAAACCCGACAAAGTTTTAAATGGCAAAATCAACGATAAAAATGACGTATTGAAAAAGAAAACATTCAAATTGTTAAATATTTTATATCGGGGCAATGTTGTAAAAAATACAATACGGAATATTGAATAATAATAACAATGAAAACTTTGTTACTCACTTAACAATTATACATATAAATGTTTGCGTAAAAATAAGTTATTAATAAGTTATTTAAAATTTATAAAGAGCTCATAAATTTTTAAATGAGAAAAAGTAATCAATTTTTTAATGTATAATCGCACATCAATGAATTGCAGTTGAAAAAATTAATCCTGAATAGAATACACAAAACACATATATATTTAATTGCGAAAATATAGAATAATGCATTATACGACAAGATATTATAAGTTTTCTATTAAAAATAAATTAAAATTAATTATTGACGAATATAAATTAAACTCGTTCTTTCTTCTTTTCTTTTTTTGAATTCAATCATGTTATTTATAAAATAACTAGAAATAATTTACTTAATTCGAGTCTGTCGAAAATATTTATACTATTTAGCATTAATTGGCTCTCAGTTACGTCACGAGTTCTCCGACCTAAAGACATCCACGTGAACGAAATCACAGACAAAGGAATTCATCGCACCGAGTTAAATCGAATATACTGGCCGAGAGAAAAAAAATATTTAGAGCTCGTCGACGCATACACACGTATACGTACAATGCTAATTTTCCAAGCCTACACGAGTATAAATATAATCGATATTACTTAATTAAATTATCGTATGCTAAATGGCCATATACACGTCATGAGTGAATTAACCAACGTACTTAAAATCGCATTATTTTTACTGTTGCAAATTGCTATTATGCTATCTCCGGTAATACAGCCCAAACTTTAAAATATAATAAATTAATTTTGGCACGTCATTTATCTTTTAAATCGAAGTGATCAACAGGAGCAATAATTTCACTTCAAAAAGCCGAGATTAGTTTTTCATTATGTAACATTATGAGTTTCGTCATTAAATCCCTGTGCGTCATTTAGATAAAGTCGACTGTATATAAAGTCTATAACGACAACTATATCGAAAGATTAATAAAATTTTCGAAAGATTTTAACTTTCCGATGGTACAATTAAACATTTTATCTTTTATTCTCAAGAGTAAATTTTTTACAAATTTTATTAATTAAAAATTAATTTTTAGAAGAAATTTTTGGAGGAATTAAGATTTCTAAATTTTAATTTACATCAATCAAAAATTCAATGATATTAGGTGTTGGAATTAATTCGTAGCGTTTTTAAAAAAGAATGTTATTTATTTCACATGAGCATTAAAAAATACATTAATGAAAGTACTTCCCATCACTTGTAAAACGCTACGAATTAATTCCAACACCTAATAATTAAAAAACATTACAAGTGATACTCAAATGCCGGAATTAAAAATACTTCCTAATCAAATGAAATCGTATGTCCAAGTAATTTTCATTAACATTTGTGCAAAATAATTTTTAAATAATCTATGCATACCTTTAACGGGATAGCACTCTTATTTCCAATATTCCAAGACCGATGATCGCCTAACTCTTGAATAACCGAACTTGTCCGTTTTTGAGACCGCTATTCTTTCTCAGAGCGGCGCGCTCACTGCGTGGACGACGACGCTGTGTCGGCGACGACGCTCGGCTTCGGTTCCATCAGCCGGCCGATATTACTGCCGACTCCGCATCTCTTTATCCTCTCATCCCCGTTAGACGCCTTCTTGACAGTCCGCGTCCCCCGTGCCTGCTCGCGAAACATAAAAAAGAAACAGTTTCTTTCCGTTTCCACGACGTTCCACGCGACAATGCGCGTTATAAAATCGCTAAAAGCAGCGTCGTCTTCTTCACTTAGCCTACTGAAACGCTATCGAAATATTTGCGACGGAACAGAGCAGACCGACCGCTACCGGGTCCGAGATCGCCCCGGAACTTCGTGCCTCCTTAATGTCATTTTTCCCCTTTAAATGAGATAATATCGAAAAATGCGCCACCACGTACGCTATCACCGGCCACGTGCCGACTGCCGAGAGTGCGTAATCACTCTGCGTCCGCGCCACCACCGCGAGAAGAGCACATCTTGATACCGACGAGCAACTAGACGCATCAAACCGAACTACCCCGAGGCGCGACTGACTGCATCGTGCCGGCTTCGAGGTGGCACCCAAGATATATCTCCCTCCCCCTAACCAGCGGATCTCCCTCCGTTGCGACGGTACCAAAGGGCGCTTGCGTCTCGACGCCGAGCGTCGGTTGCACCGCGTCCATCGCGTCGCTTTGCACCCCGGCAACCGGGGTTTTATTCCATCTCTTCCTCGCGTGTGCGTCCTCCTTTCTTCTTTTTTGATTTATCTGCGGCTGCCGAAATACGTTCCGCAAGTCGATTGGCGGTTTAATAATTTATTATCTAGCAGTGATGCGCAACCTATTTTAAAGGTAATTTTCAGAGAATCATTTTTAGAAGTAGGTAAAATCCTTCGGGTCGTATAATGATTGTTTCGGTTGCATAAAATAAAAAATATGATTTTATATTTTCGACTATGAGCTGGCGGGTCGCAAAAAAAAAAAAATCACAGAATCGCAGGTTGCGCATCGTTGATTTAACACATTGTGTTCTTTGTGTGACTTCTTTCTCGTTGATTTATATATATATATAAAATTTCTTCTTCGAAGACATGCAATATTGTATTACTCAGAATATGATTACGCATAATCACACGGAACCACACAGAAAAGAACGTGAATAATATACGTATTTCCGTTTCGACAGTCTCTTATCTTATCACATAATATGTGATTTATGAACGATCCGTTACATCATCCTCCTCTTGATTAAAATCGTTACTCATAATGATATTTAGATTTAGCCGAATAATCGCGCGTATACGCCTATACAGCGATTTTGCTAAAAATTTAGATAAGTACAGATCTGAAAATATGTAGTTTTGTTGAATCATTAAAATATAATAGTATGTAGAAAACTCAAGCGTGATGATTTAAAATACCTGTATATCTCTACGTTATGCATTGCAATTTTACTCTAATTATCCGTACAACATGATATAAAATATCAAATTGTATAAATTTACAAGAAATAGTGCAATAAGAAAAAATAGTAAAATTGATTTATACATTTAGATTTAGGAACTAAGAACAAGACCAATCATATATGTATTAAAGATTTACTTACAAAGCTGCTTTTTGTGCTGAACGCAGCTATTATTAGATATGAGGAACCATCTTAACTAAATATTTTTTTACTCATGTGTATTTAATCTCATCGGTCGATTTTTACAAATAATATTGTTTAAAATTGTTTCATCATTCATTCTTAAATATTGTTTAAAATATCTATATAAAATTTTTACAATATACTGCAATTTTACTAATCATGAATTATATAAACAATGAAAACAATTATAAAGTTTCACTCTTTGTTTAAAATCAAGTATTTATTTCATCTTCATGTAAGTTTTTTATTCAATCATTAACTCGATTTCAAGTTCAATGTACTACTGAGAATACTAAAAATGAATGAGATGCAAAGAAAATAGTGACGTTAAATTATCACTGAAGAAATGCAATTTAATTATGGAAAGACGCTGCGAGTGGACCAGCACAATCTGATTAAACGTTAGAAGGTTAATTATGTCCACCCGAGATCGATCATTCGATCTTGATAACAAAGAGCGACTTATACAAACGACACGTAGGAATGTTTCGAGGAAAATAGTGATTCATTTTTCTCGAGGGAAACGACCGCCAGGACGAAAAGTCCCTCGCGTCGCCGGTCGGAGATGTATCTCGATAAAGACACGCGCCTTATCTTTATTCGAATCGATCGACATGACACGACGGTCGCTCGCCATTGCTAAAATTATCGTGACCTTTTTTCTTCAACGAACCGATCTTTTATTTCCCGGTCCATTATTCCCAGGATCTGGGCCGATTGTACTGACATTAGTTAATTAAAATTTTCCTCTTTGTATCAACGAGGATGTTACAATGGGAAACAGACATCGACTGTAATTTGCAAGTGAACGAACATCTGCGAACATCGTCCTTTATTCGGCTTTTCAATTTAAAACATAGATTAATTTTTAAAAAACGTGAAATGGATCATCGTTATCTAAAAGGATTTAACATGTATTCTTTACAACATATATGCGACATTTCGGATATTTTATTAAAAACTAATTAAATGTCAAATTAAAAATTTGCTAATGAGCAGAAGTTGGAATAGTTTTATTTGCGATTCTGTCTTTTTTAATTAAACGAAATCACTTTCATTAAGAAAAGTAGACTCCAAGATCTACCAGAAAATTATAACAAAAAGCAAAAAATTATACCAAAATATATAAAACATATATATACATATAAATACATAATATATTAAGGATTAAAAAAAGAGAGATTCTTGATACTATAATAATTAAAAATTTTAAACAAAATTTTCTGCTTACATATAATAATTTACGAAAATTAAAAATTCGTTTACATTTCACATTGTGGCAGTCAATAAATCGTATCATAAAGTGATCTAACAACCAAATTTATGCGCAAGCTGACCTAAAATGTACTTTAGGAGTGCTGCGAACGAGCGTAAATAAATGCACCGCCGCAGGTGTTCGTCTGAATCTATGTTTAGTATGCGCATTGGTAGGGAACTTTCCAGATCAATAAAAATATTCACGTATCCTCAAATGTTTATTTAACAGTTTGAAAATACTCACCGAAATTACTGTGGATTTTAGGAACTGATTGAGCTCGAACTATAAAGGTGGATAAAAAGCTTTGAACTCGTTCTTCCTGAGTAACAAATGCTACGTTTTATAAAGATAATTTACTTCAAAAATAACTTTTTACATTAATAAAATTATATAATTTATATATATATATATATATATATATATATATGTGTGTGTACTACTCAATCTTCAGTACATTTTCATCATTTTTCATCATACACTTTCATCATTCATTCTTAACAACAACTTACATTATTTACCATTGATATATTTGAATTCTAGTGAACTATACTTCAGTTCATATTTTAAAGTATGAATTATCGCAAGATTATAATAAATTGCAACCTCGATTTTAATTCCTCGCTTGATCGTAGTTTTTTATATACCAATCAACAGTTTCTTTAATTGCTTGTTCAAAAGGTGTAAATTGAAAATCAGGCAGATACTTTCGTAATTTTGCATTGCTTGCTGTTTTTTTGAATTGTCCATCCGCTGCCGATATATCATACACTACTTTTCCCTTAAAATTGAAAGTTTGCGCCAGAGTCTCTGCCACTTGTGCTATTGATTTTTCTTGCGCTTCGTCCACTAAAAATTTTTCTTTCGTAATTTTCATGATAAAGTTATACAACATTGATAATTGCAATATTACAATATTGTTTAACCTTCTGTCGACAACATGGAACTTTATTTCTTCTATTCGTAGAAGAATTCTATGAGAAATAGAGAAAATTTTTTTAACTGCAAATTATATAAAAATCTGAAAAAATTCTGGCATACTTATACACTAAGTTTTTAACGTTTAATCATTAGAAAATTAAAATTGAATTTTACTTATTCTTTAGATTTAAATTTATCCACTAGTGACAATTAAAATATTAGTTAGTGATGACTTTAAAGATCCCATGTTGCCAACAATATAGTAAAAATAGTAGCAGCTATAAAGTTATTGATAAAAAAAACGTTTACTAGAAAGTTAAAAAAAAATTAGGGAAATAATACTATACCTAAATAAATAATTACCTGATAGTATAATTGGTTCTACAGAATCATATTCCCGCAGCACCCAAATTATTAATTTTGCTAGGTCTATGCTGTAGATAAATTGCCTTAAAGGTTTACCAGAGCCCAATACAGTGAATACTTTATCTTCTGTATTTCCTAATAGAATTAAAATACTAATTTGATAAGAAATTCAAATGATGTTTATACATAAAACTTATTTTTACAATCAAAATATTGATTGGTGCCTTTTCCATACCATCTTTGCACAAATCATAAAGCCTTCGCATTAAACCAGGTATTACATGACTATCATTAAGATGAAAATTATCATGTGGACCGAATACGTTGCAAGGAATCACACTGGTATACAGCCTGCCGTGCTGATCATAGTAACCTCTGTTAGCAATATCTATGAGTCGCTTGGCATAACTATAACCATAATTCGAGGAATGTGGTGGTCCATTGTGAACCTGAAATACATATAATACATGTATTGACCTACACATATATTAATTATAGTCATATCTAACGTATGTTACTACCATAGTTTCATCTATTGGATAAGATATTTTATCAGGAAATATACAAGTGGAAAGACACGAGACAACCTTCACGATATTGTTCTCGTGAGCAATGTGCAGAACATTATCATTCATGTGTATATTGTTCCGCTGCAATAAAAGATATTGAAATCACGATTAAAGCTACAATACAATAAATTGATACGCAAATAATGAAAGAGATCATGTCCTTCGTGATATTTACCAGAAAGTCTAAATTATGTGACATATTGTGGAAGAGACCACCAACCATAGCAGCTAAATGAATGACATGTGTCGGTTTATGATGCTCGAATAACTTCCGTGTACTCTCTTTGTCACTGCAAAAGTCATTTGGATAAACAAACGTCATATACATAGTGTTTTGCAATCCCGTTAATCGTTTGATTTAAATTTAACCTTAATCACTTAATCTAACCTACCCTAAATCTGCATCTTTGGATCCAACAAATATCCACTTTTCGTTTTCTCTTTTATCATTTTCGATAACATTTTGAATTCCTCTACCAACGAGTCCTGTACCGCCAGTTACAAGCACAACATTCATGTCGCATTAAAGAAATGCTCGTAAATTCTGATAGTTAATCAGTAAGTAAATGATGTTAAACTAATCAACTATAGTTGTCAGCTGTGTTCCAAATTTGCCAGCGCGGCCAGCGCTGAAAATGCTACAGTTTCCGTTACGTGTACTATAGATTTTCAGTAAGGCAGTAAATTTTGGAACATCCAATAGCAGTGAAGTTGAATCTATAAGAAACAACCAATCATATTTATTTGCTTAGCGAGCAGGCTAGCCGCTTTATTAATTTGAACACGCCCAATATGCAAATGCCTTGAAGCGCTTGCTGGATTAATCAGAAGAAAGAATTTAACAAATTCTGATCAATCAAGAAATGCTTTAAAGCATTTGTAGCATCGCATTGACCGTAAAGACATGGATAATGAATACCTGAATTATGTGGAGTAGTTTAAACATATATACAAGTTCAATTATAGAATTAAAGATTAAAAGACGACATACAGCCTGCCATGATATATTATATGAAAAACAAAACGACAATATAAAAAAAAAAGTTGAGTAGCGCCCAACATTTAATATCGAAAATCACAATGAAAGCAGTTTTTATTTTGCATCAGTCACAAAATTAAAATTGGAAGATTTTCGTTTCTATAATTATTTTAGAATGAGTACAAATCAGTTGGAGAAAACTAACGATCAATCGTCTCGGTTTTCGGGAACAAAATTAAGCAACATTGAAAAACATATTGCAACTGCTAGGAATGCATCGCTGTCGAAATGTTGCATATCCAACTTATTAACAGGATCAAAATAAATAAGAATAGCATAATTAAAAAATTTTTTATTTTCCTTTGTTTTCTAAAAAATAGAGATCATTTTGTATAGCAAATAACTTGACTCTGGATTATTACCCGAGATACGTGTAATGATTTACTAAAATACTTAATTAGATCTTCATTTATTAGTTTTGTAGATTTAGTGTAAAAAGTTAAATTTACATGAAGTATATCATTAAAGTTAAATTTACATAAAATATATCATTAATATATTTTTATTTTGAGACATTAAGAAAATATCCCGGGCAGTAGTATCATTCTAAATGTGTGAACAAAAAATAAAAAATTAAAATATAACATCCTAAGATAACACATCCTAAGATAACACATAATTGTCACTAAATGTAATAGACATGTTAAAACGATAAACAATGAACCACTATTTTCGAAGCTTGCAATTTTCGCAATTTTCTCGAATTTGTCTTTATTCTTCGCTCATTTATTCGAAAGAACTAATTTGTATAGAGATCTAAGTTGAGAAAACTGTAAAATTTGTAATTACAATCACGGTAGTGTCATTGCGCTTGGCTTAGTGTCGAGATACTATCGTGTCTCCTGATTCCTCATAGCGCAGTAAAACAGAAAAACTGGCTGTAGGAGGATGTCAATTTTATCAATTATATTAAAATTTTAAAGAAATCATATATACATCCTAAGATAACACATAATTGTTACTGAATGTAATAGACATGTTAAAACGATAAACAATGAACCACCATTTTCGAAGCTTGCAATTTTCGCAATCTTCCCATTTGTCTTTATTCTTTGCTCTTTATTCGAAAGAACTAATTTGTATAGAGACCTAAGAAAGTTGGGAAAACTGTAAAATTTGTCATTACAATCATGGTAGTGTCGTTGCGCTTGGCTTGGCGCCGAGATACTACCGTGTCTCCTGATTCCTATCATAGCGCGGTAAAACAGGAAAACTGGCTGTAGGAGGATGTCAATTTTATCAATTATATTAAAATTTTAAAGAAATCATATATACATCAGAAACGATATAAAAATTCTAAAATTCATAAAACTTTATTAGGCCTCTCATAGCTGTCATGTCTGAATTAGTAGATTACAACTAAAAAGTTAGTTATCAACGGCAGTTAAACGAGAGGATAGCTGGCACTGCTTGCTATACCACAATGATTGTCCTTATTTCTGGCCATTTTGATGTAACTTTTCTTCCCCAGCCAATAATCATGACCGGTTTTTGAGTCTGTACCATAGCCGACGATCAACACACCATGATCTAAATTGTCTGAATCGCACTCAGGATCAAAATACACTCCTAAAAAATGTGAAAAAATTTAAGTAAAAAAGAAAAAAAAATGAGAACACAAGTTCAGATTTTATTACACAACAATTAGTCTCCAACTAATCATTATGAATTAAATTTCTGATTTACAAGATTAAAAGTCTTATATATAAGTTATAAACTCATAAATTTTTTAAAAAATTAGCTTATATTAATTTTATATATATATATAATTACATACCTTCACTATAAAGCTGAAAAGATTCATGAGAGGCATCAATAGCAACCGAGACCGGACCTATAGTGGCAACTGCAGCCTTTAACTTATGCTCATTTCCTCTTGGAATATCTACGAAACCGGTATCAATAGCGCCACTATTTCTCGGATTGTATCTACAATTTAAGAGTTTAATAAATCATTAAATTCTGTGTATTTTTCAATCATGCAAAATAATTAATACAAACCTGCACTTGTCATTCTCTGCTTCATATGGGTAACTCTTTTCGGTATCAAGACCTTTGTTATCTCTGACGTATTTAAAGGCATTATCCATCAAACCACCATTACATCCTTCGTTACCATAGTTACCAGAACAATCAATCAAATTTTGCTCACTAAGTGATACTAAAATACCGGTCTGTCTGAAATGCTGTCCTTCTAAAGAGCCAGTCTGCAAGAAAAAAAAAGACAATGAGTAATGTCCAATTCTATCTATTAAAGGTGTTAAAAAAATAGGCTTACAGTAGAGAATGCCCAACAAGAGCCACAATGTCCTTGATCCTTAACTTCTGTAACAGCACCATGTTTCCTCCAATCAACTTCTTTTGGTAATTCGACATTAGCTGGCGAGATAAATGTTGCTCCCATAAATTGCTTTTGAGCCTTTTCTGACTTATTGAAACCATTCAAAGTATTGACAAATTCATGATGCAACTGTAAGAAAAATAAGCATTTCACGAAAAATTGCTCGCTTCGTGATACAGATAATTTGCTTTTCATAGAAACTTACCATGTCACCGTATTTGTTCATTCCCAATTTGTAGGGAACTTCATTCAGCTCATATTTGCGATTGTGTTCAGCAATTTTACGCTTGTTATCCAAGAAGATTTTCATTCTATATCCCTCCTCAACCGAAGATTTATAGATTTTTTTATGATGTGTCTTAAAATAATAATCAATATTTAGTTTAATTTTTCGATCATTTTAATCATTAATTTTATTTAATAATTAAATTCAAGAATTTCTTGCATAGTGACTTCTTTATTTTTTTAACAAATATTTAATCATATCGTATTTGCTATGAAATATATTCTACGTAAGAAACTGATCCACAACAAAAAGAAATCTATAACTAATAAAGTACCCATGTTACTATTTATAAAGAATAGTAACTGGATATGGAAGGCTAGATTTTCATTTTATTTAACTCTTTAGAGTAAATATTATGATGACAACTTTTATACCTTAAAAATGAACCATTCTGCATCCAAAATCTTGTTGAAGGAAATAGCTTGTCCCGTGGTAAAAACTGCCAGTAACAACAAGACCACCACACTCTTCATGTTTATTCCTCAATTAAATCACCTACAAAAAAAGGATTATTTCAATAATATAATAGAATAGATATAACCCTTATATATGAAACAAAAAAGTTAATTTTATATTGTAGATTAAAAAATTATTCTGTTCAATCGCTCATTCAATCTTATTGAGAAAATTCATGAATTTTATTTTATAGTGCAATATCAAATAAAAATATAACCTAATAAACTAGCAATGAGTCTTAGCTTGAAAGAGCAGAGTTCGAAATTTACAAGAGAAAGAAAGCAACGTTATTAATAGTATAACAAAGCTTTGTCCTGCCGCTGCAAACATACGTGATCAAAATTTCGAAAAAAATTGCATAAAATTCCATAAAAGACATTGCGTCAACCATTTGTCCTATTTTTTGCACCACAATTATCAAGAACTTTTATATTCAAAATGAATCATTTTGTTTTCCTGATTCTTAGAAAAAAATTCTTAGAAAAAAACGCATCCTGTACGCACTGTCAGAAGCAATACGCGTATCCATGCGTGAATATGTATATTATGCAATTGTGTGCAAAAAAAAATGCCTCGAGGTCAATCAAATGAAAATCTCTCTGCTACGCCATTTGCAGTTTTATGACAATTTATTTTTTTTCTCTTCTGGACATGCGCGCGTGTTGTAGCCTCCGGAATAATTCGTTTGATTATCCTGCCGTTCATGTTAGTGTGATTTTAACAATGACTCACATTTCTCGCGACGGAAAACACTCGGAACACAACCTGCGGTAAAATTGCTGCGATGACACAGCGATAATCTGTGCCAACTTGGGGTCCAGTGTACATAATTTTGTTTCAATGGAACACGCGAGAGACGCAAGATCACGTGGAGATAAACATATAACGGATCTCAAATCTCGACCTTGTTACAGCGCGTCGAATGAGCGGCTCGTGTCATTTAAATCACATACATGTTTACATACACATTTATACTTGAAAAGTCTCATGGTCAGAGTTCTTTATCAAAATTTTTATCAATTTCAGATTCGTTGGATGTATTCTGAATGCTTTAGCCGAGACGCAAAAAAGATTATCAAATTATTACTAAGAAAAGAATGTAATAAAAAATCAATAGATTAAAGTTTAAAGGCCCAATTTCACAATTCAACTTGTTTCTTATCTTTTTCTAATTCTAGAATTGGAAAGAGATAAGGAATAAGTTGAACTTTGGTTAAGAGTGACTATGAATTTTAAAACTAAGCCTTCAAACGTTAATCTATTCATTTCTTATCACATTATTTTATCTAGCTTGTCTAGACAAAAGTATGTAACAAGACTTCGATGAAGAATTTCGATATTAATCATATATTCATAGTTTACTGTAGTATCAATCTAGCCAAAAGTACTCTAAAAACAAAATTATATATAAAATTGATGAGACTGACATTACAAATACATGTATATCGGATATTATCTCTCTTTCCTTGAAATGACGAAATACATGATTGTGAATTCCTTTTTTAAACATAAAAAAAAACGAAAAAATTTTCTTGATATCTCTCAATTGCGCACTAGACGCGTTTGCTACCATTCGATATGATAAACAGATTTATTGAATCACATGGTAAATACATGTATAAAGAGTTCATAATTATGTCTCCATCGCGATGTTGTCTAAACCGTCTTGATTTAATTAATAATTTTAAATATATATATATTTAAAAATTACAGTAATATATACAATATTTAAGAGATTTTTTTCTATATAATCATAAATGTTCTCTGTTTATGTAATCACAACACACAAGACTTTGAAATATTATTACTTTTGATATATTCAAAACACAATATAATTTTATGTTCCAAGCATTTGTCTCTCATGTATGTGAAGTGTAATGATAAAATATTAAACTCTCAATTATTTTCTAAAATAATTAAACAGACAAAAGAATAAATATAGCTATCTGATAGGCAGTTGTGACATCGATCTTTGCTCAACTTTACATTTGTTTGTTTACAATAATTAGTAAACAATATGGATGTATAAAAAAGTTGTCATCCGTAGTTGGAATTTTCTATATTTATTATATTTCAGCTTTACTTAATACATAAAGACAGTGTCAGGAAAACACATTGAACACAATGACAAAACAACCACCTAATTTACATTAACTTTAAATTTATGGAGTTGTTATATATATATTATATATAGTTCCACTTTCAAGATTAATATTCATCTTGGAATTGATATTTCCTTTATGTCCATTTCTACCAATGTAGATTAATTCAATTTAATTTTACTTTTTATGTTTAATTCAAAGAATTAAAAAAAAATAAAGAGTAAATTTTACGAGTTGTGACAGAAATTCACATTTTGACATTTTCGATTAGCCTAAACGCCCTAAACGATGCTTTGATATTAGTAATATAATATGACGTATGTCCTTAGGTTAAATACGCACAATTCAATCTTTACGAAAATCTAAACAAGCGTTATCGCGTTCTGTAATAAATAATGAGATGGCAGGAATGGAAACAAAGAAAACTGAAGCTATTCGTTTCTGTTACGCAAATTGAACTCTTCCACTATAAATACACACTTATTTGACTTTACATGATTTAGATAAAAAAAAAATTAATTTACACAAAACAAATACATGAAACATGAAAGACTGCTGTTGGAAGCAAACAAACTGCGTTCCTTGCTTGATCAAGCATTTTGAACAATTAATTAATACTTACACGTATTTACACTTACGAGCTCTCTTTATTCCTTGCTAGCTAAGTCTACCACGGACGTAATGCGACAATCACAATCGTTTCCGACTAACAGCGTCGTTCTTTTGTATTCCTCCCTCTCCCTAATATTACTTTCCATCACCAAAGGCCACGTGATTCAACGACAATGGAGTCCATTGGCGTCGTCTGACGACGTTTCGATGTTGTATGCACATACATAATATATACATGTATATTAGCTACGCATCGCATTCGCTGTTTATCGAGTTCGTTCGTTCGTTGAATTCCAGCGCGATGATCTTTCGTATCGTTTTGCACAGCTTGCACAGAGTGAGATAAGACGATTGTGACGTCACGATTGCGAGTCTTGTCAGTCATGTGTCCACGATATCGAGTAACCCAGATTTATAATTATCCTCGTGAGGGGATGCTGCGACGAGCAGGCTCTCTTTCAAAAGCGGAAATGATAACACGCGTGATTAAGCTTGTCACGAGGGTCTATACCATGTTTTGTTTCTTTTCAGCGATAAACCGAATGATGCAACCGAATGAACCGACCATATATGTTGTCATCATTTATATTGGACGTTTTTGGAAAAATGACGTGTTCTGATAATCCGGTGTAAGTTGTTTTTCTTTTAAAACATGATTGACAAACGTTTTATCCTTTTTGACATTCAATGAATAATGTAGAACATTCATTGTGTTGACTGTCTTTTTTAAAAAAGAGCAGCCATTGTTGGAAATCTACAGTTATTCATGTTGTGTATACTATAGATTTTCATTACTGATAGAAGTGTGTATCTGAATACGATGAAAGTATAAAGGAAATAATAATTATACATAATTGATCTATTTTAATTAGATATCATTGTGGCTGCGGAACAAAAGCAGCTTTGCAACTGTTGCAAAATTCTTCAACATGGTTGATTCTGGCTTTTTTCAATTTCTTATAAATCTAAATGTATAAATCAATCGTATTGAAAAATTTCACAATATTTGCAAAGTTGCTTTCTCTGCTGAACACAATCATTGAGACAAAAATAATATCAGATCAATTCTAACCTATACTTATTGCGTGGGCGTCGCCATATTGAGAATTAAACATCAGCGCCTCTGAACGTAAAGAACAAAACTATTTACGTATATCATATTTAAATTATTGGTGGTAAGTTATCGGCTGCGGTCGATTTGGGCGCTCACGCTTTAAAATCTGTTCTATAATGTGCTCTTTGTTTTTCTATTTCTTGTTTTTTATCTTTTGCTTTTTTCTCCTTTGCAACCGTTTTATCAACAAATTGTATTTTTTGATACGTATTTCTTGTTTTTTTCGAAGTTCGTTAACTTTTATCTCGGGCGATATAAAACAAAAAATCGGATAAAAAGCAGAAAAAAAAGATATAAAAAAATAACAAAAGGCAAGAAACAAGAAACAAAAAGCACATTGTAGAACAGGCGCTTGTCATCATTTTATTTTTATTGTTCATTATACGTAAAATAAGAATAGAAGTACTGAAAAGCGCTGATAGAATCCAAATCTTTCTATATTAAACCCGATTCCACGATGTTAGAAATTAGTCCGAGATCTCGGACAGAAAAAAAATTAACTGAGTATCAATCATGAAATTTTTTTTCTAGGATGAGAAGTGAAAAGTGAAAAATTTCTCCATTAACTTCAATAATTAAAATTTTCACTTTTCGCTTTCCATCCTAGGGATAAAGTTTCATGATTGATATCTTGATTTCTAGCATCGTGGACACAAGGCTTAAGGGTTAATAAATATTATAAAAATAGTGAAATCATCTTGTATCATTTATAAAAGAATATAACAAATCGATAATAAATCTATAGAAATTATTAAATTACGACTTAATAAAGTCTTGTCCACGATGCTAGAAATCGGTCCGAGACCTCGGATGAAGAAAGAATTGACCAATCGCAATGGTCACGTGATCAAATCATTCAAATGTGATTTGTTCTCTATCCGAGGTCTCGGACCGATTTCTAGCATCATGGATATCGGATTTCAGGAACTATTCAAAATTTGGAAGATGTCTATTTCACAGTTTGCGATTACTATATTGATTACGATTGGTAAAAGTCACGTATCTGCTCGCGAGGTAAAGTAGAGAAACGCAGTGAAGGGACAGAAATAAGGTTACGAAATTCAGAGTCATGTCGAAAAAGGTATACGATTGCTCGCCGGAGCAACGCGAAATCGCATTGTGGAGAGATGCGAAACGGAAGCAGTTACGCGAATTGTATCTAAAAGATTCAGGACACCCGACTAAAAGTCTTCTCGTACGTACATACACGGACATTTAACTTAACCTATAAGTCCACAAATATTAGCGATACTTCACTCCGTAGACAACATTTACGTCTATTTATGTTTGATTTATGTTCTGACAAATTGCATTTATTGTTATCATTTATTGTACAGTATTTTGTTCACTCGCATTTATAATTTTTTACTCCGATCTTTGTATTTCTCGGATTCAAGTATGCTCAATATTTTTAAAGAATATGAAGTAGTTTATTATTAAAAACATAACGCTAATAAGAATTAAAAAATCGAATAGGATCATAAATGCACAAATATTTATATGTGTATGTATATAACTTTTGCTTTAATCAATTGTGTACACTTTATATTTAAAATTGTCTACACAGAAATTATGTAACAGATTAATGAAACATGATAATGAAACAATAGCGGAAACTATCTGTTATACCTTCATAGCACTTTTAGTATTTTGTTGATTTTGAAATAATAAATAATCGATTTTAGAATATAATTATGTCTATGTAAATTAATTTTAATAAATTACACATGGTTACTCATTCTATAAATACAGTTTGATACAGGAATATATAAATATGCTGCTTCGAAAGCATCGATAGAGCAGCACTTTGTACCTACATTGATACGATACGTGTCGCGAGTTGGAATGGTTGCATCTCTTATTATTGTAACTGCAGTGACATTAAAAAATAGAAAGGTAAGCCAAATGTATTTAAAAAACAAAATTCGAGAACCAATGTAAAAATATTAATATGTAATATGCATTATTTTTTTTCATAGGATAAAAAAGAACACTTGTATCGTACTGGACAAATTGATTATGCAAGCAGATCACATAGATTCTGTTAGATGATTATTTTAATAAAGTACATGCAGTTGATGTATCTAACTTAACACTAGATGATATAAAATAAACTTATAAGAAATATATACATATATGTATATATATTAATAGTAAATGCAATATATGTCATTAGAAGAAATAAGAAAAACATTAAAGATTTTATAAACATATAGTTATGAAATGAAAATTCGATGAAGAGTGATACCAGTCTCAAATATAAAAGGTACACACATAAAATATGAATTTAACATAATAATTAAAGACTATAAATTTATCACAACAATTGGTAAATTTGTATATAGGTATTATATATTTTATCGTTATAGAAAGAGTAATGTAATGTATGTATTTATTCTCTTTCTATTACCGATCTTCCAATTGCTTGTCACGCGCAACAACAGCGTCATCGAATTTAACCATATATGTAGTTCCTTTATGCCAGTGTGCCGTTACCTTAGCAGGCTGCAATAATATTTAAAACAATTACAAATTTTGTCCCATGAAAATATAAATGTACAAGCTTAAAAATTGATCAATAGACTATCTCAAAAAGAATAAATAACTGAAGCTGCTTACAAAACCGCAATCGCAAAGTACAGCCTCCACGATACCAGCGACGAAGGATGCACAGTTCAAGCTCCCTTTATCTTTGGGTACTGACACAAATTTGTTTACCAAGGATTCCTTTTCAATGATGTAATAAGTACGTTCGTCGTCGTTTGCATGTTCCAGTTTATCGGCCTCTCGACCAAACAAGGACTTCCACACTGTACTTTTGATAAATAGCAATACATTAAGTAGCTTTATCTCACGTTTGCCACCCTTTTCTCGTACCACAAGTAGATCTGTTATTCTGTGTCCAACTTCTGCTCCAATCTCTGCCAATCTAGTCACAATATAAGACAATACATCTTTAAGTAAGTGCAAGATAATGAATAATAAAGAATAATTTAATCTACTTACTTATTCTGCAGCTCTGGAACGGTATAGACTCTGTTTTGACAATATTGCACTAATTCGGAAAATAAGAGGGCAAAACAACTCAAGCTAACCTCTCCTTTACCTTTACTTAAGGATTTATCGAGGATACTAGTCCGCGGTCTTATGGCTGATATCGTGATACTTGACATTTTTATGTAATTAAATATGTCATACAATTTTTATAAATATTATGAATTATTATCAAGAAACGTTGCGCGATACTGTCAAAATACTACACACTGTACTGCCATTTATTTACGATTAAACTGACATCTGACGGCAGTGACGACTAGTGGCAAGCAAATTCAAAAAGAAGAGGTCTGTTCAAATTGTTTTAATTATATTCGAAACTGTAATTTTTCTCGTATCTTAAAATTTAGAAATTTCAAATATCTTACACAAAAGTCAATAATTTTATTTATTTTCAAAAAAATGCAAAATTTCTATGTTATATATTTATACAATTAGAGTTCATTATTTCACAAGTCCCGTATTTTATTTAAACTTTGCACAATTTAATTTGTATTTAAAATAGCAAAAATATTTTCTCTAGTTAGATGAAGAGGATATGGGAAATAATTAATTATTCTTGCACATATTTAAATGTGTAATGATTTAGTTTATATTACATAATATTGAGTATTACAAATATTATAGATAAATAAATATATACACATATATACATATAATATCATATATACAAGATACTTCGGTAGAAAATATTTTTTACACAAATATGCTTTGTGTGAAATTTTAAATGGACATTATTTCAAATCCTCGTCCATATATACAAATAAAATCATTCCAGTTTTTGTCATGGCTGTTAAAATTAATATTTATAAGAATAGTGAAATAAAGAAGACAATTATAACACCTAATACATCTTTAAACTTACTTGGGACAACTATATAATTCCATGCCTTGCACATCCGTAACAGATGTAAATACTTGATTTAAGATATCTACATGTATGACTCCATTGGAACATGAATAATTATAGGTAATAACTTGCTGATCTATTCCCACGCTACATATTATATTGCCTTTCAATTTCACACCTGTTGATTATACATTTTTATAAATTTCTTAAGACATATATGGAATATGCAATACAACTGTAGCTTAAAAGATGTCATATGTGCCTTAATTTACCAACGATTTGTGTAGAATGTGCGGATGTTGTATTCCATTTGGATAATATTTCAGCTGATAGTTTATTTTCTGATAGATAAATTTGAAAATAGGTGACATTGAGAAGATTGTCATCGCCACCGGTAACCAAAAGATATTTATTCTCATTCATATCCTTTAAATCAAAACAATTAATTCCTGACTGATGCAAGCTAAATTCTGCAAAAGGGATATCGTCGAAATTCAAAATATTCTGGTTCCCAGAATTTGCATCCTCGTGTATTTTCGAGACCATGTCGGTAAAGTCAAAAAAACGTAACTTTCCGTCTGTACTCATTGTTAATACAATTACTTTGGATTTGTATAATAATATGTGTATCTTCAAAATGCAACGATCTATGTATTTAGTAGATACTTTCAAATATGTATTGTTAGTTACAATATCATATACAAGTAGTCTGCAATGAAAAAAAAAAAGAATATTTTTTTGTAACTCTCATAAAATGGTATATCATTCTTGATAAAATAAATAATTAAATTACCTTAAATATCCGTCTGCACAAGCTATAAAGACTAATACATAATTTAATTTAGGGTAATAGGCATAAATATCCATGTAACGTGTTTCTGGTTCTTCGATGCAGAATTGCTTAGTTTCCTGCCATGGTTTTTTACAATACTGATTTTGTTTATAGAGCATATGAGAATTCACATCGAAACATGACATATTTAATTTTTTTATTGAATGTGGATTTTTTGGGTCAACACTTTGCAAGTTGAAGTTTAGCTTCCAAATCTTCAATTGTGCTCTTCCTCCACCAGAAAAGACTAGATATTGAAACTCGGATTCATGTAACATGTTTAATTTAACAACACTTAGGCATCTAATACCCGAAAGATGACCATTAAAAGTTCCTAAATTTTTGAAAACGTTCCATTGAAAATCGTATTCAAAAATACTACTGATACGAAGAGTGCAGTCTTCACTACCGGATATAAAAATATTTTCTCGATGATCTGATTGTTTAATCGAAATGTATCGCAAGCAACATGTCTCTTTTATGTGAAATCCATTCTAAACATAAAAAAACAACAAATATAAAAAGGTTTGTACAATTATTTTCTTTTTAATAGATTAAAAATCACTTACCTGTAAAACAGGATGTGAAAGAAAAAGAGAAGAAGCCATATCACATACATGAACCTGTTTATTTTTAATGTAAGCAAAACTGGCTTTTGTGTGCGATATTACACAGTCCCACGATCTATGACCGCCACCGCAAGGAATTCTGACGACTACGTTTTCATTCAACAAGTTATATATTATAAATTCCACCTGAAAATGTTATTGTAAGAGATATAATTACACAAGATTTTCTATTATGTGTGCATATATATTTATATGTATAAAATTTTCGATTTATACCTGTTTAAAACCAAATACAAAAAAAATCTCATTTTTTTCCATCCCTCCTATTTTTTTCGTATTCACTTTTAACATGCCACTAATCCAGTCCATTGGCATCTTTTTTTTATGCAGCATTACCAAGGGCTTCGTGTATGTAAAAGAATCCTTTATTAAATGTATTTGATAAAATCTCAACATTCCATCACGTCCAGACGTTATCAAGTTTTCTCCAAATATACAAAACGACTGGACTCCTATTTTACCATGAATCCTATCAAGTGTTTGAATAGGTTTTCTACTAATATCTGTTTTAATAACTGTGTTAAAATATATATATTTCAGATCATATACATAAATATTCCCAGCTCTATCCCCACATATTAACAAATTATATGATGTCCCGTAATTCACAGGAGGATTAACATCTTTATAGATTATAGCTGCAGTCAACCAACGTTCTCTACTGGGCGGCAATATGCATTCTGCATGCACTGTAAGATTACCTATATAAAATCAAAATGTTATACATGTTCTAAAATACATTATGACATTTATGATAGTTACATGACATTGCAGAAATGATTACACACCACTCAATAACTTCAAAAGACCATTTGCCCCACAAGCTATCAAGTCAGAATTGTTTAACCATTGCAAAGATAAGATTTGTGAATCCATTATTTTGTTTTTCTCCATAAACCGTAAAGTCCCAAGGTACTCTAAAAATACATCATCAATTATTTAATTTTAATAATTAAAAACTTGAAAATGAAGATAATATATTTGTAATAAAAATTCATTTTTATGTTGTCATTAAGATTTGTATTATAATAAACATTCTTACCTTCGTATACTATTGCATGTCCGTCTCTAGATGCAAGAGCAACAAAGTTGCGGTTTGGAGAAATTTGCATAATATAATAGTGTTCTTTTGTTAAGTATGTAGTGTTTTTAAGCATCATTTCTTTGTTGTAATGTAAAAGCGTTCCCAATTCAGTAAAGACTAAAATTGTGCCATCGTGCAAATAGGAGACGTATTTAGGAAAATTACATGTATCATTGCCACCAGATAGAAAAATTGTTTCTAGGCTTTTGTAATGTTCAAAAGGTTGCATATGTACAGATCCATCACCTCCACCCACGTATACTATATTGTCTTCAGATACATCAATACTCCATATAGGAGCTTTATAGTAAGCTTTATTAAGTAAATTACCTGAGAGTGACCATGTGCATATAAGTGAATCCTAAAATAGAAAATTTTTTAAAATTTACATAAAAATTTTACATAAAAATAAATTGTAATTTTCACCTACTGGTATAATTGAAATTGAATCTTACTTCTCCTATTGTTAAAACAATGTCATTTCTAATTAAAGCTTTCCAAACTCTTGCTGTGTGCATAAACATTGCTTTTATTGGCTCTATTTTTACTGTCTGCCAGTTTATATTGTTGCTTTTGGAATTTTCATCTTCTGTTATTTTCCAGAATCTAACACTTCTATCATCAGATGTAGAACAAATAAATCGCAAAGTTGGATCACAAATAACAGAAAATATAACACCCTAGAATAAATTTACAAGGTAAGATTTTTATTCAAAAATTTTTATCCTTTTAAATTCAATATAATTACCAAACCTTGTGTCCTATTAAACGATGCAAAACTGGCATTCTTTTATTAGTGTCATTACATCTATTGTCTACTTTCCATATTAAAATTTCTTGAAATACAGTTCCACTGAAAATAATTAAATTCTCTTGAGAAGTTCCTGATATAGAACCGCCATAGCTAGATATTAATTAAGAAAATTGTTACATTTTTTATATCAATTATCTCTGTAAGAAATTAATTAACAAAAATCATGAAAGGATACAGAATGCATGTTTCTTCACAGCGTATAATTTGACAAGTTTTATTAAATATATCGTATATAGATATATAATTATGGGCAAATAGAATTGCCAATCGTATTTCTTTTTTAAATGATATCCACTTTGCAGCAATTATCCAATCATTGAATTGATTTGTACTTTGTTTTCTAATTCTATATATACATATAGAACATACACATATAGAACAAAAAAAATTATTACATCAGAATATTTCAAATTTTAAATCTAATTGTTTTAATATGCTCTGAGTAAAAATAAGAAAAAACAGTTATATAAACATAATCTTATTATTATAATAATGAATCATAATCATGATAATAAATCATAATCTATACCTCATATAGATAATTTTTCTTATTTTTATCTATAGATCATATTGATATTTGATTTTGGTGTATCATGCATATAAAATTATATTACTTTATGTTGTGTCCTATTTCAACAAATTTGCAAATGCATATAGACTTGGCACCAAATACAGCTAATATGTTATCCATTCCTACTACAATGCCATGTATATTATTTGGATACAGGCAATCCAACTTGCACTCAAATTTGCAATCTCTGAATACATAGAGAGTAGGTCCCATACCTGCGATAATAAATAAGCGTTCTATAAAGTTGTAAAAATTTATAACTTGATCAAATTTATCTTGTGCATCCAAAGCATTAATTATTAACCAGCAAGATTTTTATTAATTGCGAAAAAATTACTTTTGTAATATTAAAATTCTTATAAAAATTATTTAACTAATGTTACATAAACTATGTAATATATGATTATTGTAATTGTATTAACTAACTCATAACTAACCTATAAGTACAATATTTCCTACGCATCGAATAGCGAGGATCTCTGTGCGTAACAATAACGATGCCATTTCATCTATAATAAATTACATTACTTTGTCATAAATGTATTGAGGTGCTAACAATCATTATCACAATTGTTCATGCTA